GAACTGACCAGGAAGGGACATACTTTCTATTTTATATTCTGCCTTAAATCTTAATTGACCGACCCAGTTTTTTTTTCTTCTGCTTTTCAAATGAATTCAAGGGACACTCTGAAGTCAGTGTACTTCTTGAAAACCACTGTGAAATATCAATGTACTAGATAGCTTCATACACACCGGGAAAATTTACATCACAGGTCTGCAGCATAAAATCAGAGCTCCCCAGCATGAGTCCATGAGAAAGGAAAGGGTGAAAGTGAGCCACTGTAAGCCCCTGATTGCTAGCCTGTCTGCCACTACTCACTTACACATGTTTATTCCCATTGTAACCAGAGAACTCTTCCTAACAAATAAGCACTACCAGGTACCAAAGTTCAAGGAAAAAAAATATGGGAGAGAAAATTCTAGTAATTAGTTACTTTCTGTTTTACTGCAAATTTGGGAGGATTCATCACAGTTCTCTTATCAGTAGATCACTCTGTTCTAGTTGTTCTTTGGGAACATGGTTTGAAAACTGCTGCTATAAAACTTAACTTGAAAGATGACCATCTGTCTTTTACTTACTGCAAAAGGGCACTGAGTATTAGAAATCAGAGAAGCTCTGTAAGGACGTGGAGCACCCAGGCCAGCACTAAAGTTTAGACAATAAGCTATTTCTGAAAACTGTATATTGAGTATCCAGGTTTCAAAATTATTTATTCACTCTCATTATTTTACTAAGAAAATGATCCAAGCATCCTGCCAGTAAGGTTCAATCTCACTCTGGTGCTACTGTACACACACACACAGAATTACTCTGGATGTGCCCTTCTGTCTCAGAGCCCTCCCCAAACAATCCCCAAAAGTAACAAGGATACCATCCTAAAGGCTGGGGATGTAAGAAATGCCCTATGGAGGCTCAAAACAATGCTTCAACAGTTTTTCAAGTGAAGCCCTACCGACACTTTGGGCTGGACAATCCTCTGAGGGGTCAGAGCTAGTAGCATCCCCACTCCAGGTGTGACAAGCAAGTCTGTCTCAAGACACTGCCAAGTGTCCCCAGGCATAGTGGGTGGGAGAAGGCCAAGCACCCTGGTTGAGAACCAATGCTCTACGACCGGGAGAAAAACGCCTGAGTAAAAAGATAAAAGGATGTAGCTGGCAGCTAGAGAAATTTCTTAAAGCATACCAAGGCTGGGCCAGTCGATCCATTCCATTCTGGGAAATGAAAATCCAACCTTAACAACCACCTAAGTCATCCAAAACCAAAAATCCATTTACCTGGCAAGCTCTTAAACTCAATCAAGAAAGAATTCTAACTGAAAAACTTAGAAGAAAACCATTAGTAACTTAAGGACATTTTAAGATGATAAAGGCACATTTATAGTCATACTAAGTGCTTTTTTGAGACCTCAAGGCAAAAACTACCTTAAAATGGAAAATTGGTTTTATCTCTGCCAACTCCAATGAAATATTAGTGTCTGCCTGGAGCCCAGGTTCTGAGGCTGAATGTGAGCTCCAGAGTATCTGCATCAAATACCAATGTCTGCCACAAAACTGGGACAGTATGCCTTGCATCCACCTTCTCAGTGTTCAATTTTCTTTATGAAAATAATACCCATCAAATTTGGATGTAATAAAACGTTTTGAGGGGAAAAGAGTAATCCTTTACAGTACCACAAGCCTTACCTAACTGGAGGGAAAAAAGAAAAAAAAAGAAACTTAATCCTATCATTCTCAGACTTATAAATTGACTCTGGATTCTCAATTTCCAGAGAATAAAGTCCAAACTAGCACAGATACAGTTCATCTACAACACACTTCTCCCAGACTTTCTGCACCCCAATCACTCTCCACGGTATATGATGAGCCACCAAGTCCCCCAAAGCCACATGCCCTTTCATACCACCCTACTGCTTCTCTGCCTAGCAATTTTCTATTCATCCTTCAGAACACTGCTTTTTGATGCTTTACTTTGCCTGTGAAATGTGGTTCCTGAACGAGCAGCATCAGTGCACCTGAGTTGTTAGAAATGCAGAACCTCAGGCCCCAGCCCAGCTCTACCAAATCCAAACCTACTTTGTAACAAGGTGCCCAGGTGAATTAGGTGCACTTACGAGGTCCCAACAGATGCAGTTCTTCACCAGCAGGCAGTGTCTTCCCCAAATCAAAGTGCCTGGCACATTACAGGTGAGGCACTTTGGTGGGCGACCTATGAAGTCAACCTCTCCTTTACTCGTCTCTTCTACTAAGCCAGGAAAACCCAAATATCCACCTTCCAGACTCCATGGCAGCCAGGGATAGACAACTGACATAGCTATACAGTCAATGAGTTGTAAGCAGAAGCTTGCTGAGGGGGCTTCTGGAAGAACTTCCGTTCCCCCAATGACTTCCTGCCCTGACAAACATTAGGGACAAAAGTCCAGTAATAGCAAAGGTCAACAATGTGGAAACACAGAAACGGTCTGGGTCCTCGCTGGGCCCATCAAGCCACTGTACCACCTTAGAATGATCTCCCTACCTCCAGACTTACTGTGTGAGCAAATTCAACACTGTTACTGCTTAAGGCAGCATCCTTAGTGCTATACCTCCTTTTTAAGCTGACTGCATTCCTGTTATCAGTTCAATAAAGGGGAAAGTGAATGAATGAATACAAAGTGAAATCTACTAAAGGTTCAGAGATTACATTAAAAAAAAAACAGGGCCTCAAAGAATCTGTTCAACTTTGCCAAAGCATGCCTGTAAATCAGTCTCTGCATTTCTAGAATTACTGGCTCATTTGTGTTCACAGCTTTTTAATGGGTTAAAAAATGAAAACAATCTCTTAAAAAGCAATGGAAATGTTCACATACAAAAATGCTGTAGAAATTGATTTTCACATATTGGAAAAGAGAAGAAAACCAAACTTAAAACACTGGGCTCCGGCCTTGAAAAGTTTGCACTTGCTGTGGCTACTTACAGGCAGCTATAAGCCTAGAGAAAACAGACTTAGAGTAGCAGGTTGGTTGCCATTCTCTCTTTCCTATTTTGAGATCTCTGTCATGGATCTCTTTTTCCCAGTCCTTATCCCAGTCGAGTATTTCCATTCAAATAGCCAAGATCAAACAGCAACTGGGTTTTTCTTTTTTAGAAAAACAGAGTAGAACAACATAAATAAATATAAATAAAAGTGAAATGTATTAAAAGGGGACGGGGGGGGAGGCACCTGACAGTGCTGTTCCTCAGAAAGAAAGTAGGTCCCCAACCAGTACTGACTCCTTAGGTATTTTACCATTTTATATTTCACACAAATCATTCATTTTTTATTTATATAAATGTATTTTAGAAAGACACATTACAGCACCAATGGAAAGCTAGTACCATCTGCCACAAAGAGAAGACAAATGTAAAAAACAAACCCACTGAAAACAAAACTTTATTAAATTCTAGCTATTGTTGTCTCCCTAAGTGCCTCTAAACTTAAAAGCTTGTTCTCTCTGTTTAAAGAAAAATGGTGGGGGAATGAGCAAGAGGTGTTAAGTCAGGCTACTATGAAACTGACACATTCTCTAGGGTATAATTAGGACAGCAGAAGAACAGAAAAGGAATTAACTTTCTCACTGTGTGATCATCTCCATGTCCCACCGGAAAGAATCCCTCACACAATCTTACATCATCTGCCACTTTTGAGCAGACTAAGAGCCCATTTTCTTAGTGCAGCCTAAAGAGCCCTACACCATACGGCCCAGCATGCCAGGCAGCTTTCAGCTGCTCACTACACTTCTAGCTACACTGACAGCCAACAAGGACCCAAGGGCCATATCTAGCCCCCTACCTGTTTTTGTATGGCCTATGAGCTAAGAATAGCTGGTAGAGATGAATGTAATCATTTTGTTGATAGGGAACCCTATTTTTGAATTCCAGTTAAACCCTCCAAAACAAGAACCCCATTCTTCTCCTAAGCAGACCTGTATTACAAAATATTGTCCTCAATTAACATTAAACTCTTTGTCAAAAAATCCGTGGAAGTTTGTTTTCTCTTGTCATATTCGTACCTACAGAACATACTCCATTTTTGCGTATCAAGCATTTACTATCCAGCCCTTTCACAGAAAGAATTTGCTGATCCCAGAGTTCACTGTTCCTCAAGGGCACCAAGCTCATTCCCATCTCCAGCTCTCACACTTTCCTTACACCCAGGAAGCGGCCCCCCCACTGACGCACTCAAGGCTGCCTTTGCCTTTCCCTAAGGTTACTTAAGTCTCAGTTCCAATGTCACCCCTTTCAGGAAGCCACCCTAACCCTGCCTCCTCCCCATTTAAGGCAGCCTGCCAACCCCATCAATCAAACCACCAAGATGCACCTTCTTCAAACCACCACCTGGTATTACCTCCTTAACTTATCAAAGTCTAGTAATGAAAATGGTAGCAGCAGCAAATACACATGGTACTATACACATTGGAAGCACTTTACCGACTAGGTTGAACCCTAAATAAGTGCCAATCAGTAAGTCAAAAATAGTCAAATGGGTAACTGCATAGGGATCAACCTAACATATCAACTTGTTTGAGGCTCACAAACACCTTCTGAGGCAGTACCAGAGGAGGAAAATGGCAGAGAGGTTGAGTAACTTGCCTGAAGTCACACTGAAAATGGCAGAGAGGTTGAGTAACTTGCCTGAAGTCACACTGATAGTAAGCGCCAGGAGGATTTGAACACAGGATCAACACTCCCACCTCCAAGAATGTAGGTTCCATGAAGACAGACGGTCACGTTCATTGTCACAGCCCTGTCCAGCGCCCATCGCTGGGCCTGGCACGTAGTAAGCCGTTGATAAATACAGGACCGAATGAATGGATGGATGCCTGCATGCATCTCCCTTAAAATCAGTGGTATCTGTCCCAGACGTGGGCCCACACCTCTTCGGGCAGCCAGGCGTTTGTCCACCGGCCCGCGAAGAAGGAGAGGAAGATTTGGGCAGATGGGTGCCCCAGGGACTCAGGGTATAGGGCCCCCTCCTGGGAATGGGGCGCCGCGGGGCTCACCTTGAAGTCGCGGCTGTGCTGCGGGGTGTACTCCAGGGTCCAGAGGGCCCGCACCAGGTGCGCCAGCTGCTCGGTGACCTCGCCCTGGCCCTGCGCGCCGCGGCCCACAGGCTGCTCGGGGTCAGGCGAGGGCTCGGGCCGCCCCGCCCGGTACTGGCCGAGCGCCAGGTACTCGGCGAAGAGTTCGGTGTTGCTGAGACACTGCAGCGTGGCGTTCATGAAGCACGTGTTCCCGTGGTTCCGGAGCCCCGCCACCCCCGGCACCGGCTCGGCAGCGCAGGCGGGCGGCGCGGGCGAGGCAGGCGGCGGCGGGCACGGCGGCGGCGTGGGCGCGGCGGGCGGCCCCGGCGGGAAGCAGCTGCGGAGGCCGCCGCGGTCCGGGGCGGCGCCCTCCGAACTAAGGTGCGAGAGCGTGGACAGCGTCTTGAGGACGCGGCTCATGAAGCTGCCCACCGAGCGCGCCGAAGAGGGCGAGGAGGGCGCGGCGGGCCCGGGGCCCCCGGGAGCCCCCGCGCCGCCGCCGCCCGCGCGGCCGCTCCGGAAAAGCCGCTTGCTGAAGGAGCGCTTCTCCTTCCCGCCCGCCGCCGCCTCCACCGGCGGCCCGGGCTCGGGCGCCGTTACCTTGGACATGGCGACAGCCGCCGTCGCTCATCACCGCGCCCACCCGTCTGGCCCGCGGCCCCGCCACGGCCGCCGCCGCATCCCGCGGCGCCGCGTTTCACCGGCAGGGCCGGGGGCTCGACGCCCCACACACCTCAAGGAACTGCCGAGCCAGCGAGCTCAGCAAGCGGCGGCCCGCGGGGCGGGGGAGCGCCGCGCGACCCGCCCAGCTGGGCCGCTCACGTGACCCGCCTCACGGCACCGCCCTCCCGGCGCTGAAGCCTCTGCAGTAGCCATGTTGACTGTGGGAACGGAGTCACCCCTCCAGTCAGATGAGATGACTCTCTGCTCTGGGCGCGGTCGGCTGTGTGAAGCCTAAGAGAGGCCATGTCTAGTGTGGGCACAGTCCAGTCGCAGGGGAGAGCGGTAGTCAGGAGCCCGGCTGGAGCTCCGTCTTCGCTGCTCTAATGGAGGAGGCTTTCGGAAAGTGCATGGATCAGAATGCCCCCCCGTACCAGATTCTGAAAGAGGTGATGGACATGGCCCTGGCCGGTTCTTTCCAAACTAGCTCCGCCCGGTTCCCGAGGAGCTCCGACAGCCTGCGTGCCCCCCCCCCAAAGCCGTAACAGAGCCTGGCATGCCCGGCGGACTTGTTTTCAGGCGGCTGCTTGAAGTCGCAGTGAAACGGTGTAATCAAATCAAAATTACCTTCCTTTTCAGAACAGCCTTTACCACCATTCATTCAACAAACAGCTACTGCTTTGCTCCAGGCACTGTGCTAGGCGCTGAAAACAGGACTAACACGATTTCTGCCCGACCCTCCTGCAGCTTAAATTCCTAATGGATGCTGATAATAGCTTCTATGTTCCAAGCATTATGCTAAGCATGCAATATCTCTAATCTTCAACTCAATGTCTTTGAATTTGAGATAACTTACTACTTCAAACACAGGTTTGACTTGACTTCTAAACGAAACCCACACATATCACAGGCTCCGAGATAGGTTGTATCAGTGAGCGAAGAATCCTGGTGTCATCATATTGACTTATTAATACCTCAAGTGGCTCTACTCTCAATGTTGGGGAGAATATAAGAAATAGGGACTATGGCAAAGTGCAAATCAACATTTTTCCAAAGTGGGTAGCTGCCAGTCAGCTCCAGCCAATGACTCCCATGCAGAAATGAGGACTTAGATCATCTGATTTTTTAAGAAAAGGTGAAAATCCTATTTTTAAATGTTGGTTCAATTAAAAAAGAAAAAAATAGCACAGAAAAAAAGTACATCTTTGGGCTGCCTTCAGCTCACAATCCACTGGTTTATGACCTCATATCTGTAGATTCTCCTCTTTACTAACCCTTAGTCTGAGTCTTGGTCACTGCAGAAGAGAGAAACTGGGAAGGGTTTTTAAACCCTTCCTCTTTTTAAAACATAAATCTCACCTTACAATATATTTCAAAGTAAATGGCTCTTGGCTCTGGCCTCCCATTCCAAGGTAAACATGGCTCTTATGATAATACCTCCTTCCCCCCCTACTCTGCAGTGGCCCCCAAATCACTTCCATTCCCACCTCTAGTCAAAATATCCATTCCTCCCTGAATCTTGAGCTCATCTGGATAGAAAGAAAGCAATCTGATCACTCATACTTAAGTGTGAATGCAGTGGTCGTCCGTCTTTGCAGGTTTGAATTTTTGAGGAATAAAATAAAGGAATAGCTTTTGGTGGAATTTCAAGTAGTTTGACAACATTTTATCACAATATCCAGCCATTATGTTAAAAGTTTATTTTTTTTAGGAGGTAGGAAGGGTCTTGGGGCTGAGGTCTCCTATAATGTCACGTCAACCTGGAAATTAGCCCTCAAGATTAGCTTCCCTATGCTGCTTCTACCTTTTTTTTTTTTTTTAGCACTTCTTCATTTGGGGCTCAGATGTTCATAGCACCCATCACCATTGTTCAAAATCTACAAAAGACTCAACATTTAAAGCAGAGGCTAGATCTGTTTTGCTGATCATAGATGCCCAGTACTGATCATGATTCTAATAAATGTTTGGTTTAATGAATAAACTAATTTAGAAGGAAATTGAGCATAGCAAAGGCTCTTCATCCACCATGACTTATGACCAGAGCCCATCTCTAATTTCAGCCAGCCACAGCTATAAACTGTGTAAGCTATTGCATTGTGACAGGCCCCCCAACACACATACTTCAATGCCTGCTGTTTATCTCTTTGCTTTTCTGTCTGAGCTTTCTCTCTAAAGCCAGAGAACTCACTTGTGGAGGAAAGAGAAGAATTGAGTTAACAACTCCCCACCCCTAAGAGGGGCAACTCTCAACCAGTGGGAAATACCAGCCAGTGAATAAACACCCAGCCTCCCATCCTTTGGATGGACAACCCTGAGGTAGATCAAACTCTTCAGAGAGTCTCCAGGGAGACTGAGTCCCAGTTGCCCTCAGTTGTAACTGTGTTAGTAACACACCCTTTTCTGGATCTACTTCCCTGTGTCACTCTGCCGCTCCCCCACTCCTGCCTTCAGGATCACCTCCCCAAAAACTATCTGCACTCAAGTCTTTATCTCAGATTCTGATCTAAGAAGAACCCAAACAAAGACACTAAGCAATTTTAGTTAGGGCTGGAGAAGTCAAACCCAAGAAAGATCGGGAATTGGTCAAAATCAGGTGTTCTTCTAGCTCTGTAAGCAATCTTTGGCCTTCTCTACCAACTGGCCTTCTCCATGTGACTATCCTGCTGGCTGCTTTCAGAACATCATTCCTTTCTTTCCTGGCATTTATGCCGGGCAAACAGTAGGTGCTAACAAATGTTCTTTTTAAATTTTATTTAACTAAGAGTCAAAGAGCAGGGGAATTCTATCACCCTGCTTCTGTTCTTTGTACTGAAGCCTTAGCCTGAATATGACCCCATTGTCAGGGCCCTCCTCTGTAATCCAAGCCAACCACTTGGAACCCATTGCTGCCGTGTGCTTCAGAGAAATTTGGGCTGAGCCTATTACCCCAATCTGACTCCCTTGATTTAGCATCACAACAAGCCAGGATCACCACAACCCTTTGAACACTGCCCTCTCCCCTAGCCCAGTACCACTTAGTTGCCATGTCCACCTTTTCCCACCAGCATGTAGCCAAAATCCAAAATGTAATTGGTAGAGTTCAGCAGTAATCCAGAGGGTAGTTTCCTCTGTCACCAGAGCCCAGTAAAATATGATTCCCTCTGATCTCTCATCTGTAGTTGTCCCCCAGGCCCTATTTACAATCCAACATCATGGAGTGTCTTATTCATCACCCATGCCCTCAGGCACTTTGATCCAAATATACAGGACTTTTGCTCAAGCTGTTTTCTCTGTCCCAAAAACCTTTCCTTGAGCCTCTTGGCTTAGCTAATCTATCCTGTCCTTAAAGTCTCACCTTAGGTACCACCTGCTGCAGGAGATGCCCCTTCCTCAGGCTCTCTCGGCACCTCTCAGTTATGTCACTAACTTTACCATACTGAAGGCAGCTTACAAACTGTCACCTGCCTTAGAATGTGGGCTGCAACCCAGCAGAGTCTCATCTTAACCATTATTGGATGCCTACTAAGGTAGCTATCATATAGCATATTGATTATTTGGCAGTAGTACATCCAAACAACATCTGAACTCCTCAGAGAGACACCTGAACTCCCCACACCTTTCCAGTCTGGCTCCTCCCACCATTCCAGGCTTATTGGTACTCACAAGGCCCATCCTTTCTCTGCTTGGCCAGATCAGAATCAGAAAAGAATCCCTGGTTGGAGCACTAGTATAGTCATTCTTTAAGACCCACCCCAAACAAACTTCTGTTGTTAATTTTCCACCATGCATCTCTGAACCCACCCATTATTACCCCCTGAGATAGGGACACACAAATTAGAAACAGCAGTGCAATGAATAACATCATGATCTAACTTGGTCCATTCCTACAATTACATCTTGAAGCTGACACCTTGGATCAAAAGGTATGCACATTTCCTGTTTTAACACCTGTTGTCACACTGACCTCCCAAAACAATAAATGGGAAACACATGTTTCCCAGTCCCAAGACAGCATTGAGTTTTCCTGTCTTTTTCACATTGGTCAATTTGATGAATAAAAGATAGAACAATAATGTGCACTTATTTGTAGGAGTAAATTGAACATTATATGCTGGTCTTTCAGCTATCGAACATCTACGCAGACTTCCCATTTGGAAGGGATACTAAATTAGGCAGGACAATTCAACTCCTGTTAGGAAAACTGGGCCAGGGGTAGGGGGCTAGCATTCTCCCCACCCCTCTAGAGCCCAGGAAGATAACCTAAGAAAGACCAATCAGTTGCTCCACCAGGACCTTGGTTCTGACAGTACTGATAGTTGTCAGTTGGAGATAATGCAGCAAATCAGCAAATATAACAGCTCTATATTCAGAAAAAGGTCCACTAGTAGCAAATCAGCAAATATAACAGTTCTATATTCAAAAAAAGGTCCACTAGTAGCAGTGCCAGGGATGGTAGCAGTGAATGTCCAGCTGATAGGTCTAATGGCAAGTTCTTACTGGTATCTGCCTCCTTAGGTTTCTCCCCAAGCCTGTTTCTCCAGCTCTGTTTATTTTGTGAGCTAATAGGCTTTCTATAAATTCCTTTACTGCTGAAACTAACCAGTGTCAGTTTCTGTTGTTTGCAATCAAGAAAATGACTAGTTAAGCTTTTTTTTTAACTATTTGTATTTTTTATGGGTGTGATTTATCTGTACACATCATTTGCCCATTTTTTTCTTTTTACAGATGTTGGCTAGTGAAAGTACTTTGTATATGAATTATATTATTCCTTGGTCTATACTACTTGGTTATTTACCTTTCACATCATATTTACGAAGTTTTCATATCAGATAGAAAATTTTAATTATTTTATATAGCTTGGTTGATCAGTATTTTTCATAAAATTTTTACATGATTAGGCAAATAGCCTTTCCCCACTCTGAGATCATAGGAATACTCATCTATGTTTTCATTTAGTGCTGTGATGCTTCTTTCTTTTCCCCAGTACCTTTTAATGCTGGCTCCATCTGGAATTTATTTTTGTGTAGGAAATGAGGTAGGCTCTTGACTTTTCCCCACTCTACATGGCTAGCCAGTTGTCCTATTACCATTTAAAGAAATAATTTAACCTTTTCCCACCACTTTAAAATGTCACTATTTTATCACCAAGTAAACTCTACATACACTTAGGGTTTGAAAAAATTCTGC